ATGAAATATGCATGTAGTACATAAACAATACAATGGGAAATGCTGAATGAAACATTAACAGCATAACACTTACCTTTATTGGAGATTCTTCTTAGTGTATGGGAGACTGGAGGAGGAGAGAGAGTGGATTGTTTATAGTTTGGAAGGGGAATCCCCTTCCATCAACACCTCAGGTACCATTTGCTTTTCTTCTCTGTTTCTTAATGCCACTAGGACCACCTTGAGAGTCACTGGAGTCCTGTCTCTCAAAATAACTGTGGAGAGAGCTCTGTTTCTGGCGTCTCTTTAACACTTCCCTAAAATGGCCCAAGACTTTGTCACTGTACATGTTGCCAACCTGGCTTGCAACAACCTTGTTAGGGTGATGTTTCTCCATAAAGCTTTCCATCTTACCCCACATAGTAAAAATCTCTTTAATTTCTAAAGGCGACACCTTCCATCTCTCTTCCTCCTCCTCTGCAGCAAGATTCTGAGCTGCGATGTGTTGCTCTTCCTGCTGAAGCTCTTGCAGCTCCTCAGTGGTGAGCTCTTCATTGTGGTCTTCCACCAATTCTTCCACATCCTCCAAACTCACATCCAACCCCATGGAAATCCCCAGTGCCACAATTGATTGTACAACAGATATAGGCTCATTAGGGTCAGTCCCAAATTCCTCAAAATCCCTCTTGTCGACACAATCTGGCCACAATTTTCTCCAGGCAGAGTTCAAAGTCCTGGTAGTCACTCCCTCCCAAGCCATACCTATAAGGGTTATGCAGTAGAGGATGCTGAAGTGTTCTCTCCAAAATTCCCTTAGGGTCAAGTGAGTGTCTGTGGTCACAGTCAAGCACCTGTGAAACATTGCTTTTGTGTAGAGTTTTTTAAAGTTTGCAATAACCTGCTGGTCCATGGGTTGAAGGAGAGGAGTGGTATTCGGGGGCAAGAACTTTACTGTGATGAACCCAAACTCCTCGAAAATTAGGTCATCCAAGTTTGGAGGATGAGCAGGTGCATTGTCCATTACTAGCAGGCACTTGAGATCCAATTTCTTTTCCAGAAGATACTCCTTCACACTAGGGCCAAACACTTCATTGAACCACTCGACGAAAATTTCCCTCGTGACCCATGCTTTACTATTAGATTTCCAAAACACACAATTTACTCTTCATAACATTGTTTTTCCTGAACACTCTGGGATTTTCAGAATGGTACACTAGTAATGGCTTCACTTTGAAATCCCCACTAGCATTAGCACAACATTAGCGTCAGCCTGTCTTTCATAGGCTTGTATCCTGGCATTGCCTTTTCCTCTTCTGTAATGAAGGTCCTCTTTGGCATTTTCTTCCAAAAGAGGCCTGTTTCGTCACAATTGAGCACTTGTTCAGGTTTCAGTCCTTCAGCCTCTATGTACTCCTGGAATTCATGCACATATTTTTCAGCCGCCTTGTGGTCCGAACTGGCAGCCTCACCATGCCTTACCACACTGTGTATGCCAGTACGGTTCTTAAATCTCTCAAACCAGCCTTTGCTGGCCTTAAATTCACTCACTTCACCACTATTTGCAGGCAATTTCTTTACCAAATCTTCATGCAATTGCCTAGCCTTTTCACAAATAAACGAAGTCATAAGAGTATCTCCTGCTAATTGTTTCTCATTTATCCACACCAATAATAACTTCTCAACCTCTTCCAGTACTGGTGATCTCATTTTTGTCAGCATAGTTACTCCCTTTGCAACAACAGCATCCTTTATTTCATTTTTCTTGGCCACTATGGAACATAAGGTTGTGTAGGGTTTCTTATACATCCTGGACAGTTCGGCCACACTTGTACCACTTTTATATTGTTCAATGATGGTTTTCTTAAATTCAGTCGTATTTCTCACCTTCTTTACCACAGGCTTGGCACTAGGAGCTTTCTTTGGAGCCATGGTAGCTTATTTAGTACTTGCAAGCACTAAAATAAATGGAATATTATGAAATATTTCGCTGGAGCACGTGAGGGGACCTTCGCTCACTGGTAAACAATGTCAGACTGGCTGCCACCCTGGCTCACGCCGTGGGTACGCGTCCCGGACGAACTACGACTCTCGAGTCAACCTATGAAAAGCGAGTCCATGTTTATACGAAAATACCTCTATGATTGGCGAATTTTACGATTGCCGGGAACTACAAAAAGCGGGGGACCACTGTACTTGTCTAGCTTCCTCTTGAAGACTTCTACACTTGTTACTGTGTTTCTGATATCTTCTGGTAAGATGATGAATAATCTGGGACTACAGATGTTGATATAGTGTTCCCTTATTGTCCCCAACGCACTCCTGCTTTTCACTGGGCGGCTTATTTTACACTTCCTCCCACATCTCTCACTCCAATACGTTATGGCAGTGTGCAGATTTGGGACCAGGCCCTCGAGTACTTTCCAGGTATATATTACCATATATCTCTGTCTCCTCTGCTCCAGTGAGTACATATTTAAGACTAAGGAGTTTCCAGGAATTTAAGTGCTTTACTGGCTCTATGTGGGCCGTAAACTATCTCTGTATGTGTTCCAGCTCTGATATTTCTCCTGCCTTGAACGGGGCCGTCAGCACTGAGAAATATTCCAAGTGAGGGAGCAGTAGCGATTTGAAGAGTCACCATTTCAGAATTTTTTTTACGTGTAGCAAATATCAAGACTAAGAAACAGACTCTTCACAATCATGGAAGCCGTGGCAAGAATCAGAAGAACTCTTTTTGCTAGTAACGAAAAATGCTGCAACAAGTTTTAAGTAACATAAAATGCTAAACTGATCAAACTAGAAGCAAGAGCAGAACCCTGATTACTGATACACTAAACATTAAACTCAGTATTTATAAACAATTTAAATGTGGAAAGCGTCCAAGGAACTAACGAAATATCTGAAGACTTACTAAAATTGTTCTAGATTATTTTATTTGAATGATTTAACATATGTTAACACCGTCTTTAGCAGCGAAATGGCTTTTTATCTGATTGTTTTTTTTTTTTTTTGAAGAAACATTCAGTCTTATTTAGAAAAGCAAACATGGCAACCCTGCCCTTTTCTCTCATTCCAGTACGTAGCTACGGTACTTGGAGTCTACCTGGAGGGTATTCCGGGGATCAACGCCCCCACGGTGGCCCGGTCCACGACCAGGCCTCCTAGTGGATCAGGGCCTGATCAACCAGGCTGTTACTGCTGGCCGCACGTAGTTCAACGTAGGAACTTAAATATCTGTCCAGCTCCCTCTTGAGGGCAGCCAGGGGTTTAATGGTAATTCCCCTTATGCCTGGTGGGAGGCTGTTGAACAGTCTTGTGTCCCGGACACTTACGGTGTTTTTCTTAGTGTACCAATGGCGCCCCTACTTTTCATTGGGGGTATTTTGCACCACCTGCCCAGTCTTTTACTTCCGTAGGGAGTGATTACTGTGTGCAAATGCGGAACATTTTCTTCTAGGATTTTCCAAGTGTAGATTATATCGCTCTCTCGCCTGCGTTCCAACGAGTACAAGTTGGACACATTTGGGACTAGGCCCATCATATATATCCCTTCCTCCTTTGGTTCAGAGAGTACATATTTGGGACTTTAAAGACATTCCCGGTAATTTAAATATTTTATTGGTTTTGGCTACATGCGGGCAGTAAATAATATCTGTTCCATTTCTGATATCTCTCCTGTCTTGAACAGAGCAGTCAATAATAAACGATATTTTAATTGTGAAAGTAATAGTGTCATCACTGACAATATTTCCCTAGCCGTACCCCCGGCCGGGATTGAACCCGCGGTCATAGAGTCTCAAAACTCCAGCCCGTCGCGTTAGCCACTAGACCAGCTAGCCACAATAAGATTCATCCAACTAGGTATATTTCTACACCATAGGAAAGGTTAGCACAGGCACCTCTGTGACCACAAATGCAACTTGCATTTGTGACCACAAATGCAAGTTGCATTTGTGGTCACAGAGGTGCCTGTGCTAACCTTCCTATGGTGTAGAAATATACCTAGTTGGATGAATCTTATTGTGGCTAGCTGTCTAGTGGCTAACGCGCGGGCTGGAGTTTTGAGACTATGACCGCGGGTTCAATCCCGGCCGGGGGTATGGTTTGTTTGCAATCGTGTCATTACGATTTCTTAAGTCACTATTTCCCTAGGTTTGAAAGTTCTCATTATACACGTAGTCACTTTCCTGGGCTTTACGGGATTTGACGTATCGTATTATATAAAAGTTAGTTCAGATGACATTATTACACTTCGGCTCTTCAATGTTCCTTTCCGTCTATGTGATGTTCCTCTTGTGTTTTGTAAACAGTGTCCCTTTGGAGCTCTTTGTTCTTTCCACATCTAAGCCGTTGGAACTAGTCACAGCTGAAGATCATGCTATTCTCTATTGCCCACTGGAAGACTTGATTTTTTTCATGCTGTCTACCGAAATGAGTTCCATATTTATTTTGGCATCGTCTGCAAATGATGACACTAAGCTATAATAGTTTTTTTTTATTTATGACCGCTAACTATGAGGACCGTGCCTTGTTTAAGTAAACTTAATGCTAGATTTTTTGCTTGTTTTGTTTACTATCGCATTTTGTGTTCTATTTGTCAGAAAGTTGAATATCCATTTGCCTACTTTTCCTGTCATACCTGTAGCCCTAATGTTATTTGAAGTAACTTCATGATCGCTTTTGCCAATGCCTTCACGAAATCCGTTTACATCTGCATTTTATTTGAATACTCATCCAAACTGATTTCTGGAACCTTCTCCGCTATTACAGCACTTGCCATATAGGATTTGCATGTACTTCCCTTGGTGTGTTTACTCCCACAATCTCGGATCTTTCTCGTTGAATGTCTACGCATGCCTGCGTACTCACGTGAGCGTTCATAAGGCCGTGAACGTGAGTTATTCTCCCTCTTAATTTAAAAGGCTTACCTACCTGTAGTCTACTTGGAGTGTCCCGAGGGTAAACTCTCTCTATGTATACTGACAAGGCAAGGGACAATGTACAATTACCGGGGCTGACCTACCAGCACGTCTCTTGCATTATTTAATCCCCTCCCCCGGCTCCCCTACCCGGCGAGGGAGAGAAGGGAGGCATCAGCTGATCAAGCAGCCTCACACGATGACCTACATCCCGCAGTGTCCTTCCCTACCACCAGGGCCCATCCACATCCCTCCCCTAAACCCCAATGCAAGGGGGGATTACGTTGGAAAAAGAAGCGACGTCTGGCATCTCACCACCCGGGTAGAGTTGCCTAGTGTCGTAAAGCCATAACGGGGACTGTTTAGTTTCTGCCTGTCTGTGGCTGTGTGAGGTAGTGTCGTGAAGTGCTCCGGCTCCGGTCTATCTCACACACCGCCAAACACAATTTAATGCAACTTCGTCAAGTTATAAATGGAAATCCAATAACACACCATGTTAGAAATATGTAAACTTTATAAAAATCATGTGAGACAAAGGTGATCGTGTTGGAGTGAAGCAGCGAGGCAGGCAGCAGTGCGAGGTGTTAGTCAGGTGCAGTGTTGGCTGCCCCGCCTCAACAATGTCAACACCGCGTCAATACATCTTACCTCAGCATCCTCCAGCGAGGTGCTGCCTACATCCTTGGAATACCCATTCATTAAATTCCTTGCATATATTCGAATTTTATAAACTGCCGAACTCTGCGATGTGTACAGTACAGTGCAATATTAACAGATTTCGCGTTCATATACTACGTTTTAACCTACAGGTACTACCTTCACTCTACCTGGAGGGTTATGCCGGGGATCAACGCCCCCGCGGCCCGGTCCACGACCAGGCCTCCCGGTGGATCAGGGCCTGACCAACCAGGCTGTTACTGCTCCTGTTACTCCTAGCTTTGTAATTACTCTTACGATGACGAACTAAACAATATAAAAGCCCTAGTATAGGATAAACGGTGACGACTGCACAATTTAGGAGATATAAATTTTGGAAAAAAATGCAATCGTGGATTACTTAATAATCTGATTTACCTTTCCCGTAAATTTAAAACAACAGACTACTTAAGCGGCAGAATAAACAAAAATTAATCAATTCTGTTCCTTAGCGACCAAAAACTATATTCCACTGGGCACCAGATAAGCCCGGGCCATGTTGGTCTGGTGCCATATTGTTCTTTCCATTATTTTGTTCTCCTTTGCGACAGCTTCACAGATTTTCATTTAATGGGTGAGCAGCTTCATTATGACACTGGAGATCTGAACACCTCAGGTGTTTTAATGTGTACCTATTGACCATCCTCAGGAAGCGACCACAACAATCGAATACCCAGGTACCTATTTACTGCTAGGTAAATATCCCTGCCTGGGATATTACCTGGAGTTTACCTGGAGAGGGTTTCGGGGGTCAACGCCCCTGCGGCCCGGTCTGAGACCAGGCCTCGTGGTGGATCAAGGTCTCATCAATCAGGCCGTCACTGCTGGCCGCACGTAATCCGAGGACAATTACAACACAGTTAATGCTATCTGTAAACCGCTGTACTTGTCGGAATCTTGTCTCCTGTCTTGCACAGTTCCAGTCTTCCAATATGTATTGTTTCTCGGCAGTTTGGAGGTCAGGAGTCATGACATCAACTTGTTTAAGTCCACGTTGCATACTGAATTAGAAGATTAAAACTAAGTTAAAACGTCGAGATACTAAGACAAAGTTTTCTGCGTAGAAATAACACCAGTAGGAGCAAGTTGGTATTTTGAGTCTGGACGATGTCAGACTGCAGCTGGCGCTACTATTTTACCTCGGCCACCTCATTGTCAATAAGTAAAAATTGATATAGTTTTAGCTGACAAGATAATCTGATAATTACCGAACCATTGCCTGTATTAAGGAGATGATTCGGTAATTATCTGATTATCCTGATAATTTGGGGAGGGGGTGAATCTTGATGATTCACCCCCCTCCCCTCTTCCCCCAAAAGAAAAGTGAAATATACTTAAGTAAAGTCTTGCTATGCAAATTTTTATTCTGCGCCAAAACTAACATAGCAAACCTAACCTTGCAAATTTAACAAAGTCATTTACTTTACCTTGGGATAGATGTGTATCACTGGTGACCCAGAGTAGCTCTGTAGCACGGTGCGATTAAATTTTATTATGTATTTTTTCCGTGGGCGTAATATAATACATTTTCGTTTATATGACTTCAGACTTCTAAAGTGTCTCGGGTGTCAACCTGCCATCTGAACGTGTTTAAAAAAAACTGCCAAACTGAGAGGCAGGGAAATCTATGTTGTGAGAACAGTTGGCCCACAGGCCATGAACATCACGCTGGATACACAGTTTTACCAATAGTGACTCTCAACTACTTGTCATTAGTAATGCTGCGCCCACATTTGCAACTAATGTTTGCCGTACTTAATATTTATAAATTACACCGACGACGATGTTCATCTTTCACTACTGACTAACTTTGTCAACTTCGAACACAGCACAATATATACACTATGGGTATACCTCATACAGGAATAAAAATGATCAAAATAGGAGAAAAAATGTCAAATAAAGGAAATGTTTTTAAAATAAAGAAAAGAGACACGAGGTAAAATGTCAGACGGATATATAATTCAAAGGAAGAACTGAAATGAACAAATTAAAACTAATTTCATGCACAATAAAATATATAAAAAACAGTAGATGCAACTTCCCAGTTGTTCGAAGACCAACTATATTGTAAATCAATCACATCCTTGAAAATCTCTCATATCCGGCCTTTAATATCTTTAAATCAATTTAAGAGACCTAAAATGGAAGAACCAGGGGCCACTTTGGATAAACAGTCTAATTCAACTAAACTATTAAGACTAATAAACACGCCTTAGACCAGCTGGGGGCGGGACAAAATACACTAATTCAGAAATTGCATTTACTAATAATGAAGACCTGGTATGGAAAATAACAGTAAGACAGTAAACTCATATCACAACTTAAGATAAGTTCAGACTAGCATACTCCCTGATCCAAATCAACAATATACACTCAATCGTGAGGGCATGTTCAAGAAATTTAATTTTAACAAGAATATCAGGTACAATCAAATAAATCGCTATCTCGCAAAATTATCCGGGAGAATCAATCAAATAACTCACTATCTCACTAAATTATCCTCGACATGAACTCAACGGCACTAAGGCATGCTCCACACATACCAAAACGAAGGAAGTGAGGGCTGGACAAGAGGAAGCGCACACTATATAAAAAGACTACGGATCGCAGAAATTCTCAACGCCGTTGACTTTTTGAACAACGAAAATAAATAATGGTTAGAAAGATGGTGAACATAGAGCTCAGACTGAATGCATCACACAGAATCCAGGTGACCGAGGGAGCAAAAATCCCAAGTGAAACAAATCCAAAATACTTTTCCTGATATATGCAAAATCCAGGACCAAAACAATATCTGGTATCAGGCCTTTAAGATAAGGAGAAGAAACATTCACTGACGATGACAAAGAAATGAGTGAAATAAATGCTAAAAATATATCTAAAATTCCCGACTAGTGACAGAGAAGGAATAGAAAGTTCCATGTGTGAGACTTGGGAGTGACGTCAGAAACCTCACATTCAAGGACAACAATGTTGCCAATGTTACTGCAAGGAAAAATGATAGGTTGGATACATAAAACTTTCAGGATGAGATGCTGAGACAACGATACTCTTTACATCACTGGTTCTCTCCAGGCTAAAATATTGTGTATAATAACAGCTCCCCTTCAAGGCAGGCGAGACTGCTTACTGGAAAACGTTAATACTCATCATCTGAATTATTGGGAATGCTTGAAATCCCTTCAACTCTATTCCCTAGAACACAACAGGGTGTTCCGTGTGTCGGTTGGCAGCGAAGTCAGCCCACAGTGTCCGTGAATCGATTTCCAGCGTAGGTGGAAACGTTAGACATGTTTCCTGACATATGCTTCCCCTGTTCACCCAGCAGTAAGTAGGTATCTAGTTGTTAGTTGATGTCTGTGGGTCGCCTCCTGCGGGTGGTAATATACCTTAGACAAGGATGGGCTTTGAAATGAGCTGAAGAAGGATAACAACTGTAAAATTGATTCGTGAAAAATATTATACCTGGAAAATCCTGAAGGGTAATGGTCCCAAACATGAACCCTGAAGTCACTCTGTATGACGAGATTTTGCAGACAATGTAAAACACCCACTAAAAAGCAGGAGCACGCTCAGTACACTAACAGAGAACTCAGAATGTCAAGAGGTCCCTGACTCTTCAATGCCTTCCCTCCATGCAAGCCTTTGATATACCTTTGAAGAGTTTCGAGATTTTATCTACCCTCTGAGCCCGGCCATGGGCCAGGCTTGTCTGGTGCTTGCCCGGTCAACCAGGCTGTTGCTGCTGCAGGCCCGCTGCCCCACATACCCATCACAGCCTGGTTGATCTGGCACCTGGTGAAGATACTTGTCTAGTTTCCTCTTGAAGGCTTCTACACTGGTTCCAGCCGTGTTTCTCATATCCTCTGGTAAGATGTTGAACAGTCTGGGACCCCGGATGTTGATCCAGTGTTCCCTTATTGTCCCCACCGCACCCCTGCTCCTCACTGGGTATATTTTACATTTCCTCCCATATCTCTCACTCCAGTATGTTGTTATGGCAGTGTGCAGATTTGGGACCAAGCCCTCGATTACCTTCCAGGTATATATTATCATGTACCTCTCTCTCCTCCACTCCAGTGAATACATGTTCAAGACTTGCAGGCGTTCCCAGTAGTTTAGGTGCTCTACAGGCTCAATGTGAGCCGTAAACGATCTCTGTATTTGTTCCAGCTCAGATATTTCTCCTGCCTTGAACGGGGCCGTCAGCACTGAGCAATACTCTAAGTGAGGGAGCAATAGCGATTTGAAGAGTGTCACCATCGGCATTATTTCCCTTGTTTTAAAAGTTCTTAATACCCACCCCGTCATCTTCCTGGCTGTCGTGATCTTTGTCTTGTTATGGTCTTTAAAAGAAAGGCCCGCTGACATAATTATTCCTAGGTCTTTTACGTGTTCCTTACGTTCTATTTGGTGACCCTCTTGAGTTTTGTATATAGTGTTCCTTTTGAGTTCTTCATTCTTTCCATACCTAAGCAGCTGGAACTTATCACCATTGAACGTCTTGTTGTTCTCCACTGCCCACTGGAAAATCCTGTTTATGTCTTCCTGTACTTTTTCAGTGCCCTCTACCTTACTGACTTTCATGCTTATTTTAGTGTCATCTGCAAATGATGATACGAAAATGTGCTGGGTGTGTTTATCAATGTCTGCTATGAGGATGAGAAACAGCAGAGGTGCCAGGACAGTACCTTGGGGCACTGAGCTTTTGACCTCGCTGATGCTGGATCTTGCCCTGTTCACTACTACTTTTTGTGTTCTGTGTGTTAGGAAACCGAAAATCCATCTGCCTACCTTCCCCGGAATGCCCATGGCCTTCATTTTGTGCGCTATCACTCCATGATTGCATTTGTCAATCGCCTTTGCAAAATCTGTGTAAATCACATCTGCGTTTTGGTCGTCTTCCAATGCCTCCGTAATTCTGTCATAATGGTTCAGTAGCTGTGACAGACAAGATCGTCCTGCTCT